AATATATGATAACATTTCTATCATTTATTTACCAGGTGTTTGTATAGCAATTATCTTTTTCTAAAAATATTTATCACGCTTTTAAATGTAATTCTTAGACATGCTTTATATCAAGATATGAAGAGAAATATGAACTTTAAGAGTGAAAGTATAATAAAGAGGCAAAGAGTTTTATAATTTCCATTAGAGACCAAAACGAGGACAGTTCTTTGCACCTTCACTCGCCTCTCCCGAGGAAACTCTTCCCGCTTTAGTTTTTTTTCTTGTTCTCGGCTAGACTCGCTTCGTCTTTGAAAGAAATCGCTATTATTTGATGATATAATTGCTTCAATTAAACATTAGAAAAAAAGTGAGGAAAAGATGAAGTATAGAGAAAGAAAAGATGCTTGGTATATATTCTCTTTCTCGTAGAGAAGAGTCCAGTAAACATAAATTGTCTGATTGATTGCTTGCTTGTATATCCGCAGGGTCAAAAAAACATCGAAAATCGATTTTTCACGGTTTTCATTTGTTTTTTTCAGTAAATGTGAAGAAAATACATTTCTATGAGAAAGAGCTAAGCGAGTCCTCTCGAGGGTGGTGGTGGGAGCGGATGTGGGTGTAGCTATGGGTGTGGCTACATAAACGTTACACTTATGCCTACACCCACCCACACCCGCAACAAGTGAATTATTTACTCATCTTCTTGAATCTCTTATTTGTAATAATTTCAAACAAAATTAAAATCGGTTAAAGTATACGAAATAGAATGGGAGAAAGCGCTTTCCGTCACAATACAATTGTTGCTATTTTCTTTTTTTAATCTATATGCATGTGCCGTGACTATTTCAAATACGTGTTGTTCATTTTCTTAAATATATTCTGTCTTACATTATACATGCTAGCCCAGAAGGATGATTCCTGTAGCAGTATTCTGTGAATTTCCGACTGAAACCTTCAGGAAATCGACCATTTCTAGTCAAAACTAGCAGGGAAATATCAGTCATGACGACGATTATTTCTTTTGTATTTTCTAGTCCGATATGAATATTGTCATTGTACGATTATGATATAAAAGGAAAGAATTTCAAGCAATAGACAGTTATATCTCTCGAATAACACACACCGACACACTTATATTATTTCGAGGTTAAATTTTACTATAGCATCAAACTGGTAGAAGTAACAAAATTTCAAAGTACTTCAACTGTTCAAGGAAGAATCATTTTTAAAAATTTATTGTCTCAATATTTGATTGTTTTAGTTGTTAAGCAAATTAATAGATTATCCTTTCATTAATGAGAATATAATGATCGAATTCAACGGATCACACAACGTATATTGAAATGAATTATAAAAAAAGAAATTGGCTAAATACGTTCAAATATTTTATACTTTTCATCTTGATTTATTACAGGTGTTATAGAAGACATAAATTTTTATGAGCACTTCACAAAGTCAAAAAATATGGATTACTTAAAATCTAAGTGTACTCAAATGTTTTTATATAAATAACATACATTTATTTTGTATATAGCAAATGTAAAGTTCATCCATTATTTCAGGAGCCGAGATTATCACTAATAGAAACGATAAATGATAAGTTTTCAAAAAACAAAACTTTTTTTAGTTTGTTTTGTATTTAGATAGATTGACACATAGTAAAGCTAATAAAAGAATGAAAATATATGTTACATGTGTGGAACGTGAACGTTCAATTGTTCGTCGTTTATACATGAATGTATTTGAACTATGTCATTACAAAAATTCGTTCGTTTTCGCTTATTTCAATTTTCAGTTGGTTTTTGTTTATGAGTTTGATTTTTTTGGAGAAACATGATCAATATTCAATAATAAACATGCAATTATTGATAATTTTTCTTTAATATTTAAAATGAAATAATCATTAAATAAGTAAAATATGTTATGAAAAATAATTGTATTATGGGTGTGGGTGTGAGCGAGGATGGTTATTCATTTGTCATCCACACTCATACACTCTAAAAAAAATTGGGTATTTGCTACTATCGGAAACTCATTTAGAGTTTCCGAGCGATTCGGAAACGGTTCTTGTGGTTTCCGAATAGTTCGGAAACTCATTCAGAGTTTCCGATAGTAGCAAATACCCTATTTTTTTTAGAGTGTATACCCTCACGTTATTTGAATATTTCAGTTTCAAGTCTACACTTTTCTCACATTGGTTGTCTTTTATGCACCATATTTCTTTAAAAATTTAATAAAATATCACTGATTGTTCCAATAGATTGAAGAATTTTCTCTTTCACATATTACTATTTTTCTTTCGACGTTTTGCCTCAAAAAAAACTTTTCGCTAAAAAATGTTTTGCTCAAAAACCTTTTCGCTCAAAAAGTTTCGCCAAAATACGTTTCGCTCATACGACACCATATCCTCATATCTAATGATTTCTCTTCTTTGTTAAATAAACTGTTGAATCTTTTTGCAGAAGTTCTGGACAATACCAACAGAGAAATACACTTGACATGAAGAAATAACGATATCGTCAGAAACAAATGCAAATAGAGATATTGACAATCTATTGTCATATCGACGCCATACCCAATACGATCGAACTGTAATGTAAGGAAAAATAATTATATTTCACCTATTTTTGTGATCATGATTATCATTTAAGCAGTTTGAAGGATGAGGATGTTATATTGACCTTTTATTCGTCCATCCTCATTCTTGTTTCGAAGATATCATGGTAGTATCATTATATCATTCCGAGTAACAGAAGTATTTTATTTATTTATTTTTAAATACACTAAATATTATATTTAAAAAGTATGTTGTGGGTGCAGACATAACAAGATAAATCTAAAACCAACACCCTCAAGATAGTTTTATTATCTCCATTTTTTAAGACACCAGTAAGAGAAACGAAAACATAAATATCTGAAATACTCATCAAGGTCTCTGTCGAATTGAGTGGTCTGAGATCCATCTTTTATACAACTCTCATATATGTTCCATTATAAGCTCCATAGATGACTTCTAGGATAAAGTAGATCAACAAGTGAAAGAGTTTTAATTATTTTTTCTTCGGTGCAGAAAAACCAACATTTTCATCTTCATTTTTCTTACTCAATTGTCGTAAAAACTGTGCATATCCAATTTGATACAAATCAAAAAATTTCATTATGCGGACTAGTTCCAATCAAACAGTCAAATAGTCCATAAGGTATACAGACTGGAAACCCTTTTCATGCGGTTTTGAAGGATTTTCGTAGCACAAATTTAGTTTTATTCAATTAAATATATGCCGTTTGATGGAGTTTGCCGAGATGGATAGAATGAACTATACTTCAGAAGTAGCTCTAATTTACTTTCACTAGAATCGGTTAAATGTTATCGAAAATCTGTATACACTGTTTCGTAGCTCTCAACAAACTGTAGCTGGTTCACATTGTAAGATGAATAAAAAATATTTCAATGACGAAGAAAATTGTCATTTGAGAATTTTTCTCGAATAATCATTGTATTACAAAACAATTACTTCGCATCATTCATCTGGTAACTAGAAATTAGTTTATATCTGTTTGGAATGCGTCGATTTGTTTTTCTTTCATAATTATTTTATAATCGAATCTTTCAGCATTAAATAGTTGTTAAGAAAAATCTAAGGTCAGCATGAAAAAAAAACTAGGAAGAAAAATAAAGAATGTGCATAAACAAACAATGCAAGTACTGATAGACGAAAAGAAATTATTCATCCTTATAAAAACAATAATCATGCTGACATGATTTTATTCTTCTCTTTTTCATTTACTCCCCATTTAATTGACAATACTTTCTATTATAAAGAGATCGTCATACATTCTACACACTTAACTATGTACCTATATTGACAATTTATTTTTATTTATTTTCTGTCATATGACTTATAGACCTTTGTTGGATTTTTCCTTCTATTTTTTTTCGATTTATTCTCATGTGAAATATTCCAACTTAGTTAACTGTTTTTTTTTGTCTTATTACGAAACATTTATTTTACAAGAGAAACCAATTGAATGAAACAAATAATTATTCAATATTTGTACATTCTTTTTCTTTCTTTACCCTTCTGCATCGAAGTTTTGTCAAAAATAGGAAGAAAACAGATACGCGTCATGTCATCCTATGAAGCCACTCTACATTACACAAATGATGACGAAAAAAAATCGCTTGTGAAGGTTATTTTCAAAAGGAAAAGGCAACAAGAGAGAAAATATATTTATATTTGTTCTTTTCTTTCCTTCGTATTTAAATGTGTTTAGTAAATATTTATTCGTCGTTTTCTTCGATGATGGCATGATATTTTTTCAAAGGCATTGAAGAAAAGACTATTATTAGGAGAGTATCATTTTTTCATTTTTTATTTGTAAGATATTACTAGTGTTTTAATCTATCATGAATCAATCAGCAACGACAAATTCAACTAACCATCATAGAAGGACAAACTCTACGAAAGTTAAATGATGATAATGATAAACTAGACTGAGTAAATAATCCTTGCAATGATGGTATAAAGAATTTTTAGAATGGAAAGAAAGTCTTACATATATAAAAGATATACTAATATGAGTACTAACATAACTGATTCGGAGCTTTCGAACTCATCTCTGTGTTTTGCGTAAGTCTCAATGAGGTTAAGTCAGTTCTAATAATTGTTCAAAAGTGTGGGTGTAGGTTAATGAGAATTCACTAACAAACATACTCTCAGTTTACATCAAAACATACTTTCATTGGAAAAATATCATGAAAATCGTTCGAATTTTGTATTTGAAACTAAAACGAAATCGATTTCCAACTTTTATCCAACCATCTTAGATATAAAATCAGTTTTATCGGTGGAATTTTCTCACAATTAGTAATTGTTATCACAAGAAAACTTCTTTTTCGATTGCTTCTGTTAGTGAACAGCGTTTTTTATTATCATTAAATTATTAAATTTATATTAATAAAAGTAGATAAGTAGATTATTCATTTCTTCTAGAAATTTATATTTAAAGACGTGGCAATGGCAAATAACAAAATACAATGTTTTATATGTAATGAAGAAAAAATAACATACCCTTGTAAAGGATGTGCAGAAGAATTTTGTTTAAAGGATTTAGCAAAACATAAAGAAATATTAAATGAAGAATTATATCATATCACCAATGAATATAATGAATTTAAACAAACAATTAATGAACAAAAACAAAATCTACGAATTCATTCATTAATAAAACAAATCGATAAATGGGAAATAAAATCAATTGAAAAAATTCAACAAAAAGCACAAGAGTACAGAGAAATCCTTATTAAATCATCACAAACATGTATTAATGCTTTTGAAATGAAATTTAAAGACTTGAATGAACATATAAAACAATTTCAAAAACGAAAATAACTTTCATGAAATAAATTTAAATTATTTGAGAAATGAATTGATGAAAATTACAGAAGAATTTAATAATCCATCAAATATCTCTATCGAACAAGATTTACAACCGTTTATTAATGATATTTCAATTACTTTATCAAAAAGTAAGTTTTTAACAAATAATTTCTTAAAGAATAATTCTCATTCTCTCTGATATTGTGTTGAAGAACTATAAAAACAATTGAGAGTATTATTGATCTATTTACTATTTAAATCAATAACAATAATATTAGTAGAAATAGAAAGTTTGACTTATCTGTATGTAGAAACCATCTTGAGGGTGTGGGTGTGAGTATCTCTTTTTCATCCATACCCACACTCACACCCACCTATATCCTCACCCATACAAAAACAAGTTTATTAAATAAATTTTAAATTGAATTAAATCACAATTCAAATTACAATTATATTAATTAAAACTATTTTTATTTTATTTAATTTTCTCCCTCTCATCAAACTAGTTCAACAAAACAAATCCTCAACATACATTTTTATTTTATTACATTTTAAAATAACACTTTTATTCACATTTATTTATCGATTTCCTTCAAATATAAACAACATCTTTTTTTAGGACAATCACTTCTTCTCAATCATATTAATATTAACACAAAATGGAAACAACATGGAATTACTATCGCCGGAGGAAATGGAAAAGGCAATCAATTAAATCAACTCAATAGTCCCGAAGGTATCTACGTTGATGATGATCATCAAACTCTTTATATTGCTGATCATAGTAATCATCGTATTGTTGAATGGAAATATGGAGCACAGAATGGTCAAGTTGTTGCAGGTGGAAATGGAAAAGGAAACCAAAGTGATCAATTGAATTATCCAAGAGATATGATTGTTGATAAAAAGAATGATTCTCTTATCATTTGTGATCAAGGAAACAGTCGAGTGGTAAGATGGTCTCGTCAAAATGGTACAAATGGCGAAACAATCATTCTTGATATTGATTGCTGTCGTTTAAGAATGGATAAGAATGGAGATCTTTATGTCTCTGATTGGAAGAAGAATGAAGTGAGACGATGGAAACAAGGAGAGAGAAAAGGAATAACAGTAGCAGGTGGAAATGGAGAAGGAAACCATCTCAATCAATTCGATTGGCTTACTTATATCTTTGTTGATGAAGACCGTTCAGTTTATGTATCGGATTATCATAATCCTCGTGTGATGAAATGGATGGATGGTGCAAAAGAAGGTATTGTTGTTGCTGGTGGAAATGGTTTTGGGAATAGTTTAACACAATTGTCTCGTCCTTATGGAGTGCTTGTCGATCATTTGGGTAATGTTTATGTGGCTGACTCCTCCAATCATCGAATAATGCGTTGGTGTGAAGGATCTTGCGAAGGTAGTGTTGTTGTTGGTGGAAATGGAAAAGGAGAACAATCAAATCAGCTCAATTATCCCACAGGTTTATCATTCGATGCTCAAGGCAACCTCTATGTTGTCGATTGTTTAAATGATCGAATACAAAAATTTGATATTGATTTAAACTAAATGTGTTGAGACTGATGATGAAATGAATCTTTAAATTTTTGTGAAAGTATTTTTGTTTATTTTGACGAAAAAAGTTAATAAATATAATAATTAAAAATGAGTCTTTAATATTTGAATTAAGTTTGATTCAGATTTGAGGGTGTGAGTATAATCTTAACCATCACCCACACCCACACCCTCAAGATGGTAAAATATTGAACATTGGTTGTGAAATTGCTGATAATGCAACACATGTGGAAAACGTTCATGTAACCGATATTAATATAAAAAATTCATAGGTGTTTCTTTTCTTTTGAAACATAAGAATCTGCTGTAGGTATCCAAATCGATTGAAACTGCACATGAAAAATAATGTTAATATACCAGAGGATGGGTGTGAGTGAGCTATATGCATCTCTTACTCATACCCACACACACTCTCATCCATAGCTGTCTTATATGCACATTAAGAGAAAAAATAATTTACAAAGATTAAATTACATTAAAAACATATTTATGATTGAAACAATATCTACGTATTTTTTGTCTCTATTCATTCAAATATTGTTCGAGTTATGCGATACTCATATCTTTTGATAAAAACGGAGTATATTGACTACTAAAATACTGAGTTTCCAGTTTCACAAAAATTCGTCGAATCACATATGATATTGAAGTTTAATCTTTTTTAATGATGTATTTCATGACAAGGGGAACAAGTGGGTGTGAGTGTAGGGGTGGTGGGAATGTGAGACAGATATGTAGTCCCATTCACCCCGCACCGATTTTAAGCACTATCAACATACAATCCCCTAAAGGTTGTGGGGACCACCACTAGGTATTAGGAACCAGCTTGAGAATGTGAGTGTAAATAAAGAGTAACGATTTTTACTCACCCACACCCACCTTTCTTTCAATGTAATAATGACAAATTATCCAGTATGATAATATATTTCGATTTCTAATAGAAGTTTTCATGCTGATTTGTTAATAGGATGTGGATGTAAAACTAGGTGTGTATAAAACCCACACCCACACCCTAATATTTAAAATTAACTTGAAATTTTCTTGAAACTTTTATAATCTCTTTTTCTCTTCTATCTTTCATATATGTTACATATATATGATGTTATAGATTACCTTGTGTACTAATATTTAAAAGTAACTCAAAACTTCTATGATTTCTTTTTTCTTCTATCCTTCATATATTGGTACATATATATAATAGTATAAATTATCTTGTGTACTAATATTTAAAAGTAACTCGAAACTTCTATAATTTCTTTTTTTCTTCTACCCTTCATATCTCTTACTTATATATGATGTAGTAGATTATCTTCTGTAGTAATATATAAGGTTACCCAGAGATTTCTAAGCTTTGTGTCCTCGCTGCACGCTTGAGATACGTCACTTCTATTTGATAAATTGTACCATCATCCGCGGTTATTGTGCGAGTTTCCTGAAAGTTTTTTCCGTTGCTTCACGGGTTATCTCTCTATTATTTATTTCGCATATGTAGTATGGTGTCTAGGAACGTCGAAAACTTTCAAAGCTTCTTGTGTAGTTGATTGTATGGACGGTTCTATATAAAATTTTCAGAAAATGCGTTGTAATTAATTGATGTATTATTGTATGAACCCTTATGTGGCAATGAATGGTGCTGGAAAATTTCAGTATTTTTCGAAATTTCTCTTTCGCGGAAATCTAAGCACTGCTACACCTTCACGCATACTGTTGTGACTGCAAATTAGTTTCTGGAATAAGTAAGCGATTCCAGTCCGGATTTCTGGATTTCTGTGCATTGATCCGACGAAATCTCTAGAAGTTCGATCCAATTTCAGGAATTGCGTGGCGAGAAAATTGACGAAACTCGGCCGATAACGGGTGAATCTGTTGCATTGAATGACGATCGAGTTCCCGGCATTGAATGAAACTAGTTCTGTGGGCGGAATTGATTTTGCAATGTTTAACATTGCGGAATAGAATAACTGCTCGCTGACTCGTGTATACACTGTTACAATGGCATATATAGTCACACATATGCTGTCATAATTATGTAATAGTCCCTAGAAGCTATCATTCGGATCTTTTATCAGGTCTCAAAATACATCGCTCAGTTGAGGGCGAGGAAGTGGATGGGTGTATGTGTGTATACTGTATCTGTCTCAGACCCACACCCTAACAACTTTGGAGTTTGTGCAGTCAGCCAACTTTTGTACCTGACCTTGGGCCGAATAGAATTCTAGTTTTTATCTTTGCTTCACCTTTACCGTTGCTCTTCTTAATGTTGCGTGATCAATTAACTAAAAGTAACAGTCGTGTTACTCACAAAGGTATTTCGTGGTAGCTTGATAAGCTAGTTAAAGAACGTTTAACTACGAACACTATATTACTCGCACTCATATAAAACGCTCTTTTAAAAGTATCTTTTCTATTATAATGTATCATTAATTAAATTCTAATCGAATAGACTAGTCTATACAATGCAAAAACAACAGTTTTCACAATCTCTGTAGATTCAAACAGAAATCTCAACAAAAACTACTTCTAGTCTTGTCCGTTTGTTTTTAATGAAACTTAGTGAATCTTTTTAAATTCATATATAGATTATGGCTTCCGAATTTTCATTATCAAATAACTCAATTCATACAAAACGAGCTCTTCTCATTGGAAACAATGAATACAAGAAAAATAGTCAACTTCGATATTGTATCAATGATGCTGAAGATCTTGCTAAAAAATTACATAACATCAACTTTGAAATCACAGTTGGTGCTAATTTAACATATGAAGAGATGGATAGAATAATCGAAGCGTTTAATGATAAGATAAATCCAGGTGATCTTGTAATTTTCTTTTTTTCGGGTCATGGATATCAATGGAGTCATCTAAATTTTCTCATACCGATTGATGAAGATCGAATTACAACAAATACTGATCTCAAATATCGAGCAATAAATGCTCAAGCTATACTTGAAAAGATTATGGGTCGTCGCCCATCAGCATCTATATTTCTTCTAAATTGTTCTCGAAATAGTTTTGTATGCGAATCATCAAATTCTAACGATCTTTCAAGTATACGAGCGGTTCCTAATTCATTTATTGGTTTTGCATATGATACAAATAAAGTTGCATTAGATGAATCAATAAATGATCGAAATAGTTTATTTACATATCATCTTCTTCAACATATTGATCAACCGAATTTAACTATTGATGAAATAATGTATGATGTTTGTGATGGTGTAATGAAAGAAACAAATGATGATCAATGTCCATTTCGAGTATCTTCGCTTCGACGGAGAGTTTATTTAAACCAACAATTTACAACTAGTAAGTTCAAAATAATTTTGAATCGCTATAAATATGAAAAATAATTTCTAACATCATTTTACAGTTTATATTTAATAAGCTTTCAATCCTATGAAAATAGAGCATCATTACATTTGTCATCAACGTTTTGAGCGCGAAATTTTTTCAAGACGAAATAATTATATAGAATATACAAAGTAAATTACACTTTTTATGAGATCAGCTTTTGCATAAAAATAGAAAAATATATCTTACAAGACGATATCTATCGAATTTTTGTAAAGTTTTGTATTTTTTAAATATGTTTCACTGCAAATATGAATATGGCTACTTGTAACACCAGAGTTTTATATTTACGGTTTTATTATAGAGCAATCGAATGATGCCATGTGTACTACCCTTGAACCTCTCGACTCAAAAGCCGACCTCATTCTCGCCAATACACAAACGAATATAAATCAAATAAAGTACATTATGACACAGATGTATGAATTGCATGAGTTCACTACACCTCGCTACTTTTTCATTTTTCCGGCAAAGCACAATGATCGGACAATACTCAATACGGTGCAAGAGTGGTACCATCTCCACTACAAACTCTATTTTCTATGTGAATGTTCAGATGAGCCTGATAAAATCCATATTGCTCTACATAGCGGCTATTCGATTAAAAAGACAAGAGAATTCATCGTCAAGTATGCACCTTATTTACGAACAACATTGAAAATTGCTCAAGTCATATTCAAACGCGGAAATTTTGTTATTCCGCAACTGGATAGCGCGTCAGAGTCCGTTGATAGCGGTATATATACGATCTTACCAACACCTGATAAGCAGAAAGAGATGGAACAGCAGCTAAACTTGGTTGAGAAATTACTCGATCGTGTCGACCATCAATGGACACAGTCAAAGTCCACAATGTTCAGACAAGATAAGTTATGTGGAGTGCCACTTCAAGGACTAGATCTGCGTGAAGTTGAAAAGTATCTGGACGTTGCCGATAATAAACGTAGTTTAGGAAACCTGTGCCGAACAGTCACCGTTGATGGACATGTGCGTTGGGTGTGCTTAGAGCACTATGACGATATCAGCTTTAATAACGCGATGTTCAAATATATTGAGCAGCTGGAAGCCATGGGAGGCAAATTCGATATGAAAACTAGAGAAGCAGTGGTGAGTCCAAAGGATTTGAGTAGCAAGAGTGTCCAAATATTGTGTGAAGCTCTCACCAAAGGTTTCAATGTTCTGAAATTGACATTTAAAGGGTGTACAGTTAAGGAAGATGATCTTGTCAGGCTGCTTGATGTTGTCATCAATCGCTCTTCGATTCAGTGTCTTAACATATTTGCTGTTTGTGTTTACAATCTATTTGGAAATACGAAGTATGTCTGCAAGTGTATGACTACAGAATTCAACAATCAATCCTTCCAAGTTCGCTTCTACGATAGTTATCAAGATGGACATATTTCAATGCTTACTCAACTCTTGCTACAAAACAGAATACATCGAACGCTCGATTTTTCTGCTTCTGATTTTATGGACCACGAACGTGATCTTCAGCAGTGCTTTGAAACGAAAGGAATAGTAACAGGATTGATTGTGAATCATTCTAACAATGTTGATATCATAAATGCTCTGTTTAATTCTAAAATGAAAACATTGTATCAACTAAAATTCAACAGTTCGTTACATGTACCATCGACTTTATCTCTTTTCTGTGGAATGTTGAAAACCAACCAAACACTTGTTGAAATGGACATTATGGATCAACTTGGTATCAATGACGAAGCTTTCATTGTCAATCTTTTGAATACTTTGAAAGGACACAAATCAATCAAACAACTCAGTCTGCATGTAAAGAATATTGAACGATCGGATCGGAAAGAAGCTAGTCTGATAGAGTCATTGAAGAATGATCAATTTATTTCACACCTCCGACTATCTGAATCTGTTATCACACATAAACTCACACAGGCATTTATTCAAGCTTCTCAAGAATGTCACACCTTAAGACATCTCGAGTTATATCACACCCAAGTGAACATCGACGATGTTCAACAGCTGAAATCCTTATACGAGAATCACAATTTGATGTACCTGAAAATATCAGAACAGTCATGTCGATACGCAATGCTAGAAGAGACAAATGAGCAGCCTGCAAAAGGTAAGAACTACGATATGTCTTTCATTCATTTTTCGCGAGATACGAAAATTTGATAGAGAGTGAGCAGATCAGATGGACACCTGTACACTAAAATACTCATTGATAACCCATAGTAGTCTAACGTGACATCTTATTCGATGTTTAGGTACTAGATATGCTGGTGCGGTTTAGCTTTTAAAACACTATCATATCTATATCTTATCCTTGTGACGGTAGAACGTGTCAAGAGCAAAATCTCTTTTTCCTATGAAAAACTGCATTTCAATCCAAAGCATTTTGTGTCAGCGTAAAAAATGTATGTATGAAACGATTAGCCAACATGTGTCGGAAAGTAAGGAAGGTAGGACAGATCACTATCCGGATAGTACTCGAATTCATTTTCCTTAAACGCTTTTTGACGTTTACTTTTGTTCAAATAAGACTATTGACATGACTTATGATAAACGATATCCATGACATTTTGTACTCTTTTCACATGAAATGTTTATCATCCCCATTTTTAGTTCAGAAATTCCGAAGTGGACTAAACTGAATGAATTGGAGTAATCATTGTTCCACGATGATTGCTAAAGAGATGTATTAAGAATGAACCACACGTGTTCGATTTTAGTTCACAATATACATATAGTATTCGTTGTACTGGCGTTGATCATCATATTTAAATAAACTCATTTAATATTAAATTTAAAAACTAATTCAAAATTCAAAATCTTTTATTTCGTAAGTTTAAAATAATATTTTGTGATATTTTAATGATTAACAAATAAACAATTTCAATTCTTTTTCAGCTCAAAATAAAAATAAACTATTTACAAACAAAATAGAACATGTAGAGAGATTAAATTAGACTTTGAAAAAAAAGTAACATGTGGATAAATATGAGAAATGGAAATCTTTTTTATGTTAATTCAATATATTTATGAAAATTGTGTTAAGAAAAAATTTGAAATAGTTTTGTATTATTATGAATAATGTTGATAATTCTTTTCTCATCCATTTTATTTACTTTTATTGAAATTGATTTCGATATGAAACAGATTAATTCTTCATACTTTAAGATCTATCTTAAAAAATCATCAGAACATCATGTTCTGTTTTTATTCTGACTAAAAAAGATCTTCGACTTCATTCTCATTCATCTATAGAATTGATCAATCTTCTGTATTTGTAAATCAAATTTATTTATTTTTCGTCAAAATAAGACAAAATCTATTCGTTTCTAAATTCTGTCTCTCTCATTTTTCTTTTTTAAGAATCACTGTTAAACAAAGAATCAAAATTGAGATAATGTTCTTGTTGAGCTTTTATTAAAGCGTTTATAGAATTTAGTTTTATTGATCAGAATTTCACAGAAAAAAGATTTGTTTGTCAAATAAATATTAAAATTAGAAAATATAAAAGAATAAATCTTCTCTCTCAAATATCTTTATTATGTTTGTCTCATTATAATTAAATTTCCAATAAAGAATATCATTCATACTAAATTATTATTGTAACATAGATTATACCAATAAATACCACAATATTTCATTTCATTTTCATTTCAGATGATTTTAAATAAAAATATTTTTATTTTCATAACAAAACAAGTTTTCATTTTTTATTTTTCAAATCTTTTTCAAAGATGAACAAATCTATTCAGATGAAATCCATTAAATTTTATATTTTACAAGTATAAAAACAATTTTGTTAAACGAAATAAAATAAAATAAAATTTAAATTACAATTAAATTAATTCAAATCATTTTTATTTTATTACACTTTAAAATAACACTTTTTATTCATATTTATTCATCCATTTCATTCAAATATAAACTAAGTCTTTCTTCTTTTAGAACAATCATCCCTTGTCAATCATATTAACATCAACACCAAATGGAAACAACATGGAATTACCGTTGCTGGAGGTAATGGATATGGTAAACAGTTAAATCAACTCTCCCTTCCTTGGGGTATCTATGTTGATGATGATCATCAAACTATTCATATTGCTGATTGTTTTAATCATCGTATTGTGGAGTGGAAATGTGAAGCAAAGAATGGTCAAGTTGTTGCAGGTAAAATTGGAGAAGGAAATCGAAGTGACCAATTGAACCAGCCAAGAGATGTGATTGTTGATGAAAAGAATGATTCTATTATCATTTGTGATAGTGGAAACAGACGAGTGGTACGATGGTCTCGTCAAAACGGAACAAACGGAGAAACAATCATTTCTGACATTGATTGCTGCGGTCTGACAATGGATAAGAATGGAGATCTTTATGTCTCTGACTGCGTAAAGAATGAAGTGAAACGATGGAAACAAGGAGAGAGAAAAGGAACAATAGTAGCAGGTGGAAATGGACAAGGAAATCATCTCAATCAACTTCATTATCCTATTTATATCTTTGTTGATGAAGATCATTCCGTTTATGTGTCGGATTTTGAGAATCATCGTGTGATGAAATGGATGAAAGGTGCAAAAGAAGGTATTGTTGTTGCTGGTGGAAATGGTCATGGGAATAGCTTAACACAATTGTCTTATCCTTTGGGAGTGATTGTCGACCACTTTGGTAGTGTTTATGTGGCTGACCGATACAATGATCGAATAATGCGTTGGTGTGAAGGATCTTGCGAAGGTAGTATTGTTGTTGGTGGAAATGGAAAAGGAAATGAACCAAATCAGTTCAATGGTCCCATAGGTTTATCATTCGATACTCAAGGTAATCTCTATGTTGTCGATGGGGGTAATGATCGAATACAAAAAGTCGATATTGATTCAATATTCAATTTATATGAAGATCGTGGTAAACTCGCATCACATATGAGTGATTATGATATGAGTATACAATGGCGTCAAAAATCACTCGTAGCCAAAGAGCAAAATCAATTAACTACCAATTCCAACATTGGTGAAGCAAACAATTCGACTGGTAGGTTCATTGAAAGATAATCTATGATTTTTGGGCGAGTGATCTATATAAAAATGAATATTTTAGAAACAAACAAATCTTTGAAAACTCAGTAGGACTAAACTCGTTAGGAGATAGGGCTCATCCTATAAGAAAAACTTGTTTTTTATTAATCAATCAATCATTTCAGAAGATAGAAAATTGTTTTCCAACCAAAATCAAGTCTATATGATAAATATCGGTTGATATCGACTCTATTCTTCTATCATTAGACTGTTACACACTTTTTATGACAACATTAATATTGATTTCTTCGTTTATATTACTAAATCATGACATCATTATATAAAAAGTCGAAAGTCTTTCTACTAAACAGTGAAATATACATAAAAATGGGAATAGTTTTTGTTCTTTTATCTAATCCCACGATAATTAATAAAAAAATGCCGTATTCTCTAAACTAACTTGAGTGTGAGACAAGCCAGATGACGCGAAGTGGTTTACTAAATAGCTAGTTTCTCATATTAAATATAGAAAGTTCGTAACTATAGTAATTCATGTTAGAGAAACAAAGAAACCTGTTGAGCGGGTAGTTGTTATATTCCTTTGAGTAAAGATTGAGGTCTTAAAGATTCAGCAACAAATTTTGCGGGCGATACAATGGATGCGTTCTATGTTGCTTCGAGAAACGACAACTTATGAAAAAGCATGAAGTTGAAACATAACTAGTAATGGAATATGCAAGTCTGTCTGCAAAGTGAATCATAGATAGATAAAGATAGAAATGATTTAGGTCGAATCAGTTTCTGGTTGATGATCAGCTGTCTTTATTATTGATGAGTGCCGAAAAGAAAATTGCTTATTGCGAAAGTGTTTTGATTACGATATATTTTAGAGTCTTAGTCAAAAGCTTTTTAAACTGAACTCATAATATCACAAAGTTTTGTCGAGATTTTTTACGTTTATACGATCTTTTGAAGGCATGTTAAAGCTTTGCAAAATCTCATAGAGCTCTTTTGACATCTTTTTTTCTCACACAATACATGATCTGCCAGCAAGATTTGACGCTAATTCAGCATATAAAATAATTATCTTTCTTTGTTTATATAGCTTTAGTCGAGCAGTCACCAACATATAAATTTCAGTATAGTAATCGACCGATAGTTTATATAGTCGATCTTGAACTGCCGTCTCCGTCTATCGAATGGGATTTAGAAATCGCACAGTTGGAGAAACATAACATGCATAGTCAACTTGCCGATGTTATACGTGAATTGAATCCGACCATTCCTTTTTACATACTTGCTTCTAAGCCACCATCTGACGAAACCATGTTACATGCACAACTACTACGTTACTATTATCTTCGGACTTCATCTAACGAACCTCCTCAAACAGATTTAAACGTTGATGATCGCGTCATCAGCATCGATTCAATTGATCACTTCGCTAGCGAACTTTATGAAAATTTGGGACAATATTATCGAGATGAAGCTGAAAAAGTCCTGTTTAAACATCAAGATCGAGATGAGGCTAAACAGCTCTTGACGAAATCGAAAAAATGTTTTGAAATATTAGAACGTGATATTGAGAAAACATTGAAACACTACAAAAATTTAGCAATGACGTAATATATACTTACAGGTAGTTTTTATATTTCATATATAATCCCGCCATCTTCACAAACATAATTCTATCAAATCCATTTAATATATATTATTATTATCATCACCAATACTGTAATAAACTTGATGTTTGCAACCTTTATCTTTAATCGTGACTAAATGACAACTCGACTTTTATTCAATTCTCACAAAACGATATTAATATGAGAGAGAAGGGAAGATGAAATTATCATGAATATTTTTCGCTTTAATTGTAAACAAAGATACAAAATACTCTTTGTTATCAAATTCTTTTTCAAAAAGTTGAATAATCAACGAATATCTCTTGATATGCTGTCTACAACAGTTCTGATGACTCATATAATATTTTAGTCTTTAATAAAATTAGTACATTCAAAGTGTTTTCTTTTCTATCACTTAGAAATTATGATGTTATCGATAAACACTGCTTATCGTACTTCTACTTTTAAAAAAATGATGATTTTTTTAATCTTCATCTTTCTTTATCGAAAAATTACTTTAGTTAACTTTAAAAAGAATTTTATGTAAGAAAGTCCAGCCGAAGATAAAGAACATAAATTAATTGTAAAAGAAGATTTCACTCTCAACTTTTCGTGAGCTACCTTGTTGTTCCATTTAATATGTTGTATAAGCACTTGTATTATTTATTTCAGATAAAAACACGCTTCCAAGGTGATATTATTTGATTTCGACGAACGACTCGATCGTAGAATTTAGAAAATATGGTAAGTTTCGCGTGATATCTTATTATAGTTGTATTATTCGAAGAATACACAAAAGAAAATAATTTTTTACCTGTAATTAATAAAAGATTCAATATTATCTCTCTTCAAATCTAATTGAATTGGAAATAACGCGATACTACTGCGTTACAGACAGAAACTAAATACACAATTAAAATCACAAACGATTTAGAAGTCAAGTTCTGATGAAAATAACATAAAAACATGAGATATAAATGTTGATGTGAACGACTTTCACACTTTGTGATAATATAAAGGTGCGCTTTTTCTTATTTACAAAAAGAAACAAAGTTAGAGACAATTAAGAGCTTTAGGTTATTACATCTACTCCATATCATATAAACTTTATTGCAAACAAAAGGCTTTATGTCGTTTAGGCAGAATCTCAATTCGGTATGGTGATACCTGTTGGATTATTTCATGATGAACCTCACATATTATTCTTGCACTTGAACGTAGCTATTAATCTTCACCAACATTTACATCGTTATAATGACGTAGTAACTGTTTTAAATAGTGAAAATGCTCTCTTCAATCGACTCGCTATGCCTAATCAGTCATTTGTGATCGTTGCTCTACTACCAGAGCAAGTTTTAGATCGAACCCATAGCTTCAATCAAATCAACTTTGAACCATATGCAACTGTCGATTATATTTATCTACTATATAAAAAGCACCCAATATACGTCACAATTAAGCGAGATCGTTTTCAACAATTAAAAGGTTGGCATTCGATCACTGATGATACGTTGGACAAAATCATATGGATCGTTTCAAAAACATTAGATCGTAACGTAAACTATTGTAACGAACGTGCTTATCAGAGCGCTCGAGATGGTAATAACGGTTTAGCTGCAATCTATGAACAGCAGCGGCTCGAGCGAAATCGGCTTCGAATAGATGCTATGCAGCAATTACTAGACTTTATATAACTAATTATATCAAGTAGAGACAGTCCACATAGATTTATTCAATAATAAATGATAAACATGATATTCATCTTATGGTTACAGACATTTCTATAATTCTCTACGGAAAACATGCCAGATATACTTAGCTTATCTAGAGCAGTTTACTTCATACTATTTTACAAGTAAAGCTTTCGGTTAAATGAAGATTTTTGAATTATAACTAAAAATCTGAATGCAAAGAAATAATGTGTAGACAACTACATTGTCATGGACTTTTCGGAATCGTGTGACTACTTTCAAGCGAACAGCTTTTTATTAATAAGTGCGGATTTTGATAATCTACAAAATATTCAAAATTCAATTAAATCTCTTGAGAAGTAATTACATAACAGAAACAAGAAGGATAAAAATGATCGTGTGTGATATAGATCAAAATACGATCGATCTCATCCATTATAATGAATAATTTTATAAACAAAAATAATTTAAAAACCACGGTTTTTAACAGATCGATAGTTTAGATCACAACAATCGGATCATCCAAATATTAAAAGAGTTTATTGAAAACTTGTCAAAATTTGAATTTCTGCCGAACCTCTTATGTACATTCGAACTAGACAACTCATTTCAAAAACTGAAAATTTTCGGTAATCAGCCTCTACAGTTTTGAATAGTAGTATTATTAATCCTCTTTTAAAAGGTTCTATAAATCTTTATCTTTTTCAGAGTCATAATACTTATCTTATCATTAAAAATAATAAAACAATTCGATAAAAAATCAAAGTATAGACTAATAGTATTCATAACTATGTGTTGTTAATTCTATTTTTAAATAATCAATAAATAAAGTATTAGAGATTCGAACTTTATCTGAGTTGTTAAACTTTCATCTTTGAAGAGTTTTAGCCCGTATTCTGAATATTGAAGTAAAGTGCAGTGCTAGTGGTGGGAAGTAACTCTATTGTGCTGTTGGAAATGTAATGATAGATTTCTGCGATTTTGCAGATAGTTTTAAATGAATTTTCTTCGATTTTATAGCCAGTTTCTACAAACTATCATTGAATGATATTTGTGACTCGATTGTTACCGATGCTTCACTATCTCCATCTTGATTAATATGGCTATCATTAGTAGCAATCATTATTTCTGCTAGGTACAAATATTATAACTTATGATATTCTTAATCAACAATGTACAATAGACAGACGATTGTATACAATGAATTGAAAGATTTGGATGATTCGTAGAAAATACTTCAGAAAGAAAAAAAAATATTGGTAAAGAACGGTTTTAGCAATTGACGTATATATTGGCCATTTTTATTAACTATTGAAAATCCGAGATCGCCATCTTATTAATTTTCATTACACAACAATGACGACAAAAAAACAACAATATACATCATCAAGAATTCATCGGATATGTATGCGATAATGATTTCTTAGAACTGAAATTGAGTTAAAAATGAAAAGCAGATAATATTTTAAAAAGCAGAAGAGATGGCGACCTTGTTCACAAAGTTTTGTTGAAATTCTTAATATAGAGTGAAGATAAATGTTAGTGTGTATTGTGTAATGTTTTATAAGAGTAATGTACTTAGTAGAGTAGTAAAGTATTAATGAATAAATAAAGGTTAGTCATGTATGTATGATAATAAAATATCCACACCCACACCCGCGTCGGTTAATTAAACTCTGCATTTTACTTATTATTTACAAACACACAACATTTAAAATAATATTTGAAATTCGACAAAGATCGATTGCTGAAAAGCAAAAGTTTGAGACTAGCAGATTGACTTGTATTCAAGTTTACAGGTCAATCTGCTTTTCAACTCACTGAAAAAGGAAGAAATAAGAAATAACGCGATGTAATCAAATACCCTTCGAATAATAATATTGACTGATAGTTGTGAGAAACCTAGTAGAAGAAAAAGAAAAAGAAAGAGAAAGAGAAAAAAAAGAAAAAGAAAAAAGAATTAACGCGATGTAATCAAATATCATTCGAATAATAATATTGACTGATCGTTGGAAAAAACCTAGTAGAAGAAAGAGAAAAAGAAATAAAGACGATGTCGTGCATATAAGCTGCCATATCTATTGAGATATTATCAATTGACGTTTAGCGCAGAACACAACAGAATATTCTCCAACGCTTTTGTCATTTATTATTTTGTGTTGTGCAATATAACGAATAACTGTGAATAAGTCAACGAATAAACTATCAATTTTACGACGTTTCATCTCAGTAAGTTAAAAAAATAACATTGACAATCAGTAAATCTTTTGTAATTGCGAACAACTTGAAAAAACGGTAACGATATGTAGTAAAGCAATACGAAATGCACTTCTATTTTCTCACTCTATCATAGACTGATTTGTATTGAATTAAATACAGATAAGTCTGTTCTTTCTTTCATTTGTTTTCAATATCATACTTCTACTTTTTCTTATGATTCTAATCAGTCACCTTCTTTTTTGATGTTTCCATTCATCACAACATTCGTCTATCGTGCGTCCCTGAACTTCCTACTATCGGTTTATTTGTTGTTTACTCATTAATTTCATATGTTTTTTATCTTTTCTCACATATTGTTTCTATTATTTATCTTGTCTCTTCTTCTTATTATTTTTCTTTTCTCTCGTCTCTACGACACCCTCTTCTTCTTTCTTGCTACTACAGACGCTCATGAGAGCGTCTCAACTACGTATGCAGTCTAGCCTTTAGCATATGTATCTTCTTTTTTATCATACATATTATTCCAATGGCTTCTTTTTATTAACATATGACCTTGTAGGTGTTATCGCATATGCTCTTTTTTACTTATATACTGAATATGTATCATCGATTAGTAGACAGATTATTTCTATTTCTTTTTTAATCAGAATAGGTCAGTATCTAGATTGGTTTCTTCCTTCTTTTTCTCTCTTCCTTTCATTCTTTCTGTAAGCCCTTCCAGCCGAACACTTGAAAAAGGCCGTACCCCCTACGGGAAAATGTTGCCATTTGGCAACATCCGGCCGGAAAGGGTTAACCTGTTTTGTGTTTCTGTGCTTTGTTTTTACCTCAAGATTCAAGACTTCTTCATCTCTCGTTCGTGCTTGTTTGGATTCATCTTCAAGCCAGTTTGTTGATATACCAATTATACGACAGACGGGAGAAAGAAAGAAAAAAATATCATTGAAATAATGTGGCGTCATTACATTCTCCAGTCTGTTCTTCTCTTTCATTACTGCGTCGAAACTTGATAGCCTCTACAATGATTGGCTGTAAAAAGACCGAAAGAAAAAATGTCGACGCCATAAACGTCGAAAAATTCTGGATGTCATCATCAAACTATTGTTTTTCTCGGCCTAATATTATTCACTAAACTTTCACTGGCTAGTAAATCATTTGATCCAATAAATTATTGTGTAAACGAATGTTTTAGAACGATGAGAAACTGAGATAACAAGAATGTGGGTGTAAATGTTATATTCTTCTGCCACCCACACCCTCACCCTCACCCACACCCGCACCCTCGTCCTCACCTCACCCTCACCCTCATCCTCACCCACACTCTCACTCGCATCCACACCAACACCCACACCCACCCGTTCTAGTACGCATCGCAAAGATGAGATTGGATACAGCTAAGACAATATTAGATAATTCGATGTTGCTTGAATCTTTTCAATGCCACAGGTATTAGTATAAAGGTCGTAATATATGTAACATAAAGCTATTGTAGAGATATTGAAATAACGCGAGATGTATTGATGAGCCGAGTGCATGAGACCTTTGTTGACGATCTGCTTTGAGAATTCAATGAGTCATGAGATTCTTCGAAATGCTTCAGTACATTTAGTACTATAGTTCTGAGTGGCTTTTGGTGTTGTTAGAAGGTGAGTGTCTGTGTAGCAAAGTAAGACAGAGTTATATTCTGTGTATTGTGGTAATGCTCAACACTCTCACCTTCGTCTTCTATTATATGAAGGTACCCTTCAGTCCTCATCTCCTATTATTTAAAGATACCATGGGGACCTCAATGAGGACTCTTCATTGAGGACCCAATGGTATCTTCAGATGATTGATGACTCAGTCTTGGCTGGAACTAGTGCATCCCTATCTTGAATAAGGTTATGTACTTTCATATTTCGAGTGAAAAAGCTTGTTGAAACGTATGTGTTACATTGTAGAATGCAATTTTGATAGAAGTGCCGAAATTTTTATTCAAAGCGATAGAATATTTTCATTAGGATTTTACGAGATAGGTTTTGAAGTGCAGTAATGTGAGTTTTTATAACGAATGAACACACAACAAGAAGGACTCACCAACTAAGAATAGCCCTAACGACTAACTAGGAGAATGCTACAAGGTAACCCTATTTGGATTTCATTATGAGTGAGTTTTGATACAATTATAACCTTGGAAAGCACGAAGCACCTATGAAAAAACTGGTTTTTTGCATAGAGTGATTTTCAATCAAAGAAGGGGTTTAGTGGTTTGAAATGAGACACCATTCGGTTCGTCAGAATTTTTCTGATCAGAACATATCAAGAGCAGCAAAAATGAACGTTTCTTTACAGAGAAACAGCCGTAGGCCGCTACAAGTAGCTTATTATCCCCCGTCTTTTGCATAAAATTTGTACTTTTCAGATTTCACAAATACTTTTACGCAACGTTTACGGTATAATAGATTGAATAATCAGTTTATACTATGGGAGGATCTTCCAGTTCTGTTACAATGACAGCGGAAAATGCAAGGTTAACATTTCCTCATCTCCAACAAGTATTTGATATTCAAGATCAAGAGATTGAAATAGAAAATACTCGGAAAAAAATATTTAATTATATTGTTTCAGGAATCGACCATGCGCCAGCTAATGATATTATGAAAAATTTAGTAAAATATGCGATCAGTTATATTACGGCCGCTGTAGAAGATAGCCAAGATCCGATAGATAGAAAAATCGAAAGACATATTGGTAGATATTTATATACGCAACTATCAGCAGAATTTGATGAAATTAAAAGAAAATTGAAATTAATTCAACATTGTATGGCAATAAATGGATGGAAGGATGCATATGCTGATATTAGCTATTGTATCTCAAGATGTGGAGTGCTTTTAAGCTTATTTTTAAATAACATTAATCATGCACTAGCCATGGGAACGCTATTTAAAGAACTATGTCTGGTATATATTGCTCTTGGATTGGTATTAGCAGAATACAATGCAGTACATATACCACATATAATTGATCGGTTTAATGAAATTGAAGAGGCTGTGAAAAAATTTAAAGAAGCAGCTGTAAGCCAGAGATTAAAGATGATTTTGTTGAAGTGGTGGTGCTTCACTGATCCGTTAAGACCTGATATGATGGGTATTCAAATCATGGACAGATTAGGAGAAGATCTAGAAGGTGGTAGCTCAGATTCAGGATACTTCGATCTGGTTGGCGAAATAAATTCAATAAAATATGAAGAACTTACAAACTACAAACGTCAATTGGAAAGTATATATAGCCACTATTTTGATAAAATAAAATTTCAAGCATTGGATCAAGCAAGGAACAGAATAGCAACAATTGAAGTAAGGCGAGCAACTCAATAAAACGTTGCAGAGTCAATTTTTGAATTTTACTCTAAAAATTATAAATGCCCTATAAAAATTTTAAGTATGGTCAATAAAATCATTAACTCGACATAATCTAGATTAAACATCTGTTTTTGTTTTTACCTTTATATAAATCAATCGAAAAACAGATCAATCTATCCTTGGCGGTGAGTTTAATAAGATAACTACCACAAGTCCAGAATTTCGATCTTATAATAGATCAATCTTCAGATGGTAGATAATTCTCCTGAAAAACACACCAGCTTGTAAACTATCTTGAGGGTGAGGGTGAGTATTATGTTAAGAATTTGCTACGACTATAGTTTCGTCCTTTCTCAAGGGCAATACTCTTCAGGTAGCGTTTAGCACTGCATTATTTCATATATTAACATGGCAAGATATGTATCTACCAACGTTTAATATATAAACGTAAAGCAAAGCAGAGGTTTCTTATTACAGAAAATTCAATAGTTAGAGAATATAAGCATCACACGATATGTTTCGTCCTTGCTTAAGGGACCCATCAGGTATGTTTATATCCTATATTGCATATAGTTATATTACTATAACCAAGTTTGCAATAGTCTCTTTCTATTAAAGAAAAATTTTGAATAGTAAAGATTATGTATGCTATATGTAAATATTTGTTTTATTCATGTACAATATATGAATGCAAATAGAAATGAAGTGAATGAGTATAATTAACTATGTGATTAAAAATGAGTTGGATCGAATTTAAAGAGGGTGTGGGTGTGGGTGTGGGTATGAATGTGGGGCATACAAATAATTGTTATGTGTTTTGACTTTTGTGGTAAAAAAAAATAAATAGTCTTAACATAGTAATAAGTTGTTTGAAAAATCAAACTTTGGTAGTTTTGAATTATTTTGTAAGATAAATATTTTTCCAATTAGTTAACAATGCTTTATATATAATGAAGGGTGTGAGTATGTGCGCATGAGCAAAGATGTAGAGATTGTAGTCATCTTTCCTCCACACCCAGACTATTTTTATATATCTGATGAATTTTTATTCTAAAACAGTTCGAAATACCGAGAGAATGAAATTTTTCACAAAAATAGTTATTGCGCATAGAGAAACAAAGAACATGATTAAAAGTGAGTCCTGACAAAGCAAATTACTTGACAGGTTCAAATAAAAATATATCAAACTAATCATGATTTATTGATTAACGTCAACCATTTATTGACGATGATTTTCAATATCGTATTTTCATTGAAAACACGCTTGGTGATTAACACCGATATTGATCAATTCTCTTTTCTCTTCATCACATTCTTCTTCACTAAAATCATAGATTTTTCTAGAACATCAGAAAAAAAAGGATTATTTTGAATTTAAATTCCATTTTATGCTTTGGAAAACAATAAAATTCAATAGAAAATACGAAATAAAATCATGAATTTTATTCATTAATCTAATCTAAAATCTATTTTTTTATCTTACCTACGACGAACAAAACCTTCTCTAGAACACTATTTTTTCTCTTTGTGTATTACGTAGAAAAAAATGAATGAGAGAAAAAGAGAGATATATAACTAGAGAGAAAATTTACAACGAGTGTCATTTTGTTTTCATCGAAGACAAAGAAGGAGAAAAAGAAGATTATTTTATTAGTTAACTAATTTATCAAAACAAACCTTGCTGAATAATGTGGAATATCTACGTATTTATCATTATTCTTCTGTTCACTCTCAACAATGAAGCATCAGGTAAATAGTTTTGTTTATTACATACTGAAGATCA